ATCCCATCCCATCCCATCAACTCTCTCCTCACTTCCCCAAACCAAGAGCTCAACCTGGCAGGCAACTACCTCCACCGCCTGCCTGAGGAGATCGCCTCTCTGCTGCACCTCCGGGATATCAACCTCTCCCGCAACAGGTTTCGACGTTTCCCTGAGGCCCTGGCCGCAGTCACTGCCCTGGAGACCATCGACCTGGAAGAGAACGAGATCACAGGTGAGGAGATCACCTTTTCCTACTGGAAGTGAGGATAAGTATCACCCCAGGGTAACTGCCTCTCCCAGCGGTGATGCTGATCCACATCCCCGGGCAGGGAGGGATGCCGGTTTGAAGCTTTGCTTGTGGTCCAGCATGCCCTGAGACATAGCCAGGCCAAGAGACAGATTAGTGATCCAGCAACAGGAGCATGAATTTGGCAGGGGGAAGGGCACCCGGGTGCCAGGGAGATGCTAAATAGGCAGAGCCTTGTTAGCTGCTTGTTTTTGCTAATGCTTGTACTGCCTCCTGGGGCAATGCTGTGGCAAGCACAGGGGGAATCAAGGCTCATTCAAGCTACCCCATTCAGTGCACTCGGATATGGCTCTCAAAGGCAGCTCCAGCTGTGGCTCAATCACCAGATTTAATAAAATATAGACTTGACTGCAGAACCCAGCCCTAAGGATGCAGGGCTGGGATGTTTGCTGCCAGGCAAAATAAGGGCGCAAGCCCACCTGAACATTTCCCAGAGCAAATAGGAGTTGTAACACTACAAAATCCCCTAAAAAAAAAAAAAAAAAAAAAAAAATCAAAGGAAGGAGAAAAAAGAGGTGTAACACCACAAAAACCCCAAAAAAAAAAAAAAAAAAAAAAAAAATCAAAGAAATGGTAAGAGCTGCTCATCCGTTGACCCTGCAGTGGGAGGAAAATCTTTCATGTGCAAAGCTGAAGCCTTTGGAGTTCCCAAAAGTTGGGCAAAAGGGACAGCTGTTGCACGCAGATAAAAGAGTTTATTTAGGAGTGAGCTTTCCAAGAGCCCAGGCTGAAACATCCCACAGCCCACGCAGATCCCCAGGGAGGCAAATATCAAGTCCACTCAATTTTTTTGTTTTATCTAGGATGGCTTCAGCTGCTGCTGGGAAAGCTGCTCCCTGCTACACAAGCTTTATTAACAGCATCGGCTGCTCCCTGGCCATGCCTGTAGAAACACAAGATGTTAAATACTGCTTCCATGACAGCCAGCAAAATACACGGGTTTTCCTCACCCTTTTTTTTCTCTCCTGCATCCTGTAGAGAGCTATCTCAGTTTCCTCCATCACTTTTTGAGCTTAATTGGCTGACATAAATCAGACTTGGTCTCCAAAGAGTGTATTTCCCACTTATTTTGTGCAAGCAGGCTGCTGTGAGAAGGGAATACAGCTTCTTGTTACATTTTTCCCTGCTTAAATTCAGGGAGGAAAGGCTGCATACAGGATTGTACCCAGTGGGATTAATCCCAGGGGAGAAGGTGGCTAGAAAACCCAGCTTCCAGGCTTGGTCAGCTCCCACCAGGATCCCCTCAGCTGCTGTTACCAGACTCTGGAAAAATACAGGGTAGAAATTAACAATTTCAAGCTAAAGTGTTTTAGGGACATATCTTAGTAGCAAGCATAATGTTGTCTGGTTGCAGAAATAGGCAAGATTAGCATTTTCTGGAAAGGGAAAAAGTAGAGATTAGAAAGCTGGGGTGTTGCAACCCTTTTTCCCAAGGAAACAAAAGTCTGGGCAAACACATTGCTCCTGCCAGCCCTTCCCAAATACCTTCCAGGCTCATCTGCACATGACTTTGCATTTATATAGATATATGTGTATTTCTGTATGCTAATACAGTTTTATGTATTATCTATGAGCTTGTATTTATATATACACCTTTTCCTCCCACACTAGCCTGGCACAACAGGAGAGGGAGACTTAAAGTCTATCAGCTTGAATTTAACTGGCACAAATATTTTCTCTAACAGTCAAGTAGGATTGAGCCCTTCACACATAGAATACAGGAGCAGGACACTCATTTCACCCCAAGAGATCTTGAATCAGACTATATGAGATAGCATTTTCTCTTTCCTTCCTGCACACATGTACAACTGACCTCTACGGCTAGCTGAGAACCATGCTTTGGCAGCAAGGTCTCGCAAAGATCAACCAACATGTTCTTGGAAAAGCTGCTGAGATATTTGAAAGTTCATTTTGATGCTGTTTTTCAGCTGTATTACCCACATACCTCCAGCCAGCCCAACATAGGAAGAAGCTGCCTTAGCAGTAGAGAAGGGAACAGAAGCTGCATTTTGGTGCCTTTTATAATTTGGGAGCCAGGTTGTCGCACTTAGACCAATAACAAGTTGAGGACTCTGTTTCAGATAAAAGACTGTCAGACAAGAGAAGAATGCTCTGTATGCTAAGGGTAGAGGTGGGGGTTAGGGAAGGATTATAGCTTTCCTCATAGGCATGAGGGTTCCAAATCACCTGGTTTGTAGCACTGTGGCAGCCATGTGCTGGTCCTACCTGTCCTCCTCTGCTTTCTCAGTGATACTGAAGGAACTCATAACAGGGCTGCAAAACAGATTTGAAAGCACCTGCTGAAAAAGAGGGCTGAGTCATGTACTAAGGCGTACTGAACTGGAGGTAGTAGGTAATGTTTTCCAGCTAAAGGGAAACAGGAGTAAAAGGAGATTAATTAATGCCTACCTGGAGTATGTGGGTTCTGTGAAAGGAGACATTTAGTGCCATGAGCTGCCTTTTTCATCTCAATGAGCTCTTTACCCTGGAGTGTAATTATGTGTATATTAATATCAGTGCTTTTAGCTCTT